CTGCTAAGAACATGAACAACTAAATGAAACAGAGTGTGACAGGGTGCAGAAACGAGGATGTCTTGAAATCCAAGCAAAGCTACTATGTAACAATTTCCACATATAGGCGTATAAAACAGCCAATGATGTTTGTGTGGTTGCATTCTTAAAAGGGGGGAGAAGGAAAGTATCTAGCTGAGGACTCGTGCTTTGATTGCTGACAGCCAGTTTAATCTTTTTGTTACCGTTGTGATGGAAGCTCACGGCTGCTGAAGGAGCGGTGAATCCCACCACTGCGTGCCCAGTATCACTGGACAGCACTGCATCCAAAGCCAGTGCAGACGTCATCCCAAGCCTGACGGGTCGAAACTTTAGGAAGTCCTTCCCACCACAGACCAAGAAGACCAACAAAAGAGGTGAGGAAAGTTGGTATATATCTTCTGACAGGTGGTGTATGTGGTTGACAGACCATAATAACAAACAGGTCAAACCTATTTATTTATTAAGCCAAGCTGCTCATTCAGCTTTGATTAATGCAGCACGTTTGCAGAGCAGCAGTTATTGGGGACTGGAGTGCATAATTATGTGTGTGCATGAATTTATCATTGCTCTTTGTTGCCACAGCTTTGTCACCAGCATGTCTTCAGACTGATTTATAACCACGAGTTCCTTCTTTGCTTCTTCCACAGTGTGTTTCTGGAAGTATTGCTCTCAGAAATGACAGCTTTCCAGCCGCGGCTCACTTTTGTGTCCCATCTTCTTCCTTTCGCTCATCTCCCCTTCCATCTACCCAAGCATGCGTCTTTTTATTCATCCTCCATCCTCTTCTGTATCTCCTGCCTGACGTTTGAGTGCTAAGAAACTGTGGCCATGACAACAGAAAGATCTCCGTGCTGAACCAGGCCGGCGCCAGCCTCTACTTGGACCTTTTCATTCATGCATCAACTAACAAGACAGACCAGTCAAAGCAAAGCTTGTGCACCCTTGGTCAACACACACACCTGTTAACCCTTACGCTCCTTTATAAGACAGACA